GGGGGGGGGGGGGGGGTTCACGCTGGAGCCGGAGGGAGAGGAGATCTAAAATGTCCGGAAAACACGTGACGTAACAATTGAATGCTCCCTACAATTAGTCATTTTTAGGATAATTCAATTGTTTATCAAATCTGAGAAAATCGACTTGTTAGGTTTTACTGAGCAGAAAAAAATGAAGCGAAAAAAAAAACTGAAAAAAGGTAACGTGAAAACCCACACTTTGAACCGTAATCGGAGAGTGAAATGTGATTTTGATAAAAAGTATTCTGTTAGTCGCGAATATTCAGAGAGTGACACCCAAAAATTTCCTCACAACCATATCAATTTTCTAGATTCAGAAGGATAAATTACTTTTTCTTTGACATTTCTGCCTTCATTTCAAATAAAATTCCTGAAAAGCCGTTTGTGTTCACGTCCAAGTGGATTGTTATATAGATTTTCTCATTAAACTTTGCTATCTGTGCAACAGTATGTCCATAACGGGCTGCAATTTATTTCTTGCCATCTAAAATTACAAATTGCTTTGACAAAAAATCGCTGGACCGAGTTGCGATCGGGATATGTATGGACGCATGGAAAATTATTTTATGACAGTAGAAAATTCCTCGTACTTCCTCTTTAACGGATACAATGAGATTTTTTTACGGTCAAAATTTCAGACTCAGAACAGGATGGTCCGTAAAAAGTGCATCCTTGGATTCCCGCACATACAGCGAGTACTCACGTTGCTCCCCAACCTCATGCCCAAGCGGTTTATCCTCAAGCTCTTCAAATACAAGTTTGCCGTTGAGTGACGCAGAGAGGGAGCGCATAATTCAGGTGAGGTACAATAAGCCCATTGAGACCTTCGGAAATCTCGTGGTAACTGTCCGTCAATGCACGGAGCCCTGCAAAATATCCGAAACCACTCAAGCCCACTTGTCGACTCACTACAACGAGAGCTCAGTTGAAAGATTTTTTGCATTCTCAACTGGAATTGAACACGAGGAAGGAATTAAAAGGAATTTTATAAATCCGATGGCATTCTGGGGAAAATGGAAAGAGGCGGAGAAAAATGCAGATTCAATATCTGTTAGCTTTTTAATGCATATTTCTCATTTCATTTTATATGCTGTGGTTAAAGCCCGAAGGCCGTAAATGTTATGGAGGCGCTGTACTTTGAGAACCTTTTAGTTAAAGGCAATCTCTATATGATACAGAAGAAAATACTTGAATTGAATATAAAATATATTTGAATCAAGTATATTATATACTCGAATCAAGAATAATATACTTGATTCCAGTATATTTTAAAATCAATTGGGGGATGGGCATTTCAATTCGAAGATAATTGTTTTGTATCGGGCCGGGTTGTAGCAATACCTCTTAAAGTAGTATGGTCACTCTCCAAAGTGATCGTTGAATGTCCGTCAAGAAAATCTAAAAAAATTAATCAAAAAACTATGATTTATAATTGAAAATTCTCTTTGTGAATTATAAAATTTATGAATATAAGAATTAATCGATTATTTTTATCATTTTTCACTTATTAGTCAAATAATGTACCTCCTTTGACTAGCGTCGTTTTATGTGTGCCAACGCTGTAACTTGACAGCGTAGGGAAAACGAGTTTTGATATGTCCGATTGTCTCCACTCCACTAAAGCGTCGTTGCCGCAAACACTCGACACACAATTTCCGAACACCGAGGAGCAGAAATTATTTATAACTAAAGTCCCAAACGGTCAATAATTTTCATCGATGGTCGTAAATTTTTATTTTTTTTCCCCATTTTTTTGGATTTTTTAAATAATTTAATCTTGGATTTATCATAAAAACCACCCAAAAATGTGATTTGCCCATCTGTGTTAAAATCTAGTTTTTCATTAATTCTTATCAACCATACTAAACGATCAATGTACTACAAATTGCACCAGGAGGTTTTTATTGATATTAACTTTCATAAAAAAATTATTTCACATTTTAATCTTGGAAATCGATCCGTGACCATACTACTTTAAGGTGAAACGGAACCCTTGTGTCTATATGAACTTTTAGAATTGTGATTTCTCTTGTGATTATTATTTTTTATTTATGAAACTACTTCATTGACCCAACAATGCAATGATCAAGTCCATAAAGTAATTGCATAGAAATAAAGTAATAATTGTAGGAAACACAATTCTAAAAATTCAAATAAACCCAGGGGTTGCGTTTCCCCTTAGGTATAATATAAAGGGTCGGGCACTAAGTGTCAGAATGTATGGGTCAAAAAGTGAAGGTTAAAAAATGAGGGTCAGAATATAAAAGTAAAAAAAGTGGGTATTAGGCAATAAGGGTCATATATTATGCTTTATCCCCGCTTTTAGTCCTTATACGATCCTCATTGCCTGACACCCACTTTTTTTACTTTTATATTCTGACCCTCATTTTTTAGCCTCCACTTTTTGACCTTTATATTCTCAAACTTAGTGTCTGACCCTTGTATTACACTTGAGAGCGCTTGGTACAACCCGGGCTGATACGAAATAATCATCCTCGAGTTGAAACAACCATCCTCCATTCACGTATAAAATATATTTGGATCAAGTATATTTTATCCTCAAATCAAGAATAATATACTTGAATCAAATATATTTTACACTCAATTCAAGTATATTTTTTCCGTGGATGATGATTCGTCCATTTTGCTTCCGAATGGAAGCTTGTAATCGTTCAAAATTAAGTTTCCAAATCTTTGTGTCAGGGTAAGTAAATATGGTCTAAAAAGTCTAAATATGCGATTTTTAGATGGTGTCTGTATGTATGTATGTATGTGTGTGTACTTTTTTTTATATTTTTTTTAACGCAATTTTCTTGATAGGAGCTTGATGAAATTTGATGAATTTTTCCACGGATATAGATGTTAATAGGCTCTATTCATCGAAACCAATTAAAGTTGAATTATTCATAGTCTGTAAAAAATAGGTATTTAAAAAAAAATCGATTCTTCGACGCTCAGTCCAAGAATTGTTATCAGAATCAAATAAATCATGGCTTAAAAAATCGTATTGATAGCCTTTTGATTCTATCAGAATATGATGCGGATCGCATCTATCACTGTTGATCTACAGCATATAATTTGTGACATTTTTTTTTTAATTTTTGTATGATAAAGTGGAAAAATTAACAGTCAGCAATGAAATCGTGGCTCTAAAAGATCGTTTTAATGCTTTCTCGATGAAGTACAAAGATGATGAAAGCAGCATAACTATTTATTAAGCTGCATAGTAGCAATATGAAGCTTTAGGTCATATGGAGGTCATATGAGGGTCATATATGGGTTATATGGGGTCATATAAAAGTTGTACAGGGTCATATGGGGGTTATATGAGGTCATCTGGAAGTTACCTGAGGTCATATGGTGTCATAACGGGCTCATATGGGATGATACAGGTCATATGGGGTTCATATTGGGTCATATGAAGATCCCATGGGGTTATACGCCGGTCATATGGGGTTATATGGAGGTCTATATGGGCGTTAAATGAGAGTCATATGGAGTCATATGGTGTTATAGGGTCATACAAGGATCGCATCAGCTCATACAAGAGTCTTATGGGGGCCATTCGAGATTATATAAAGTGATATGCAGTCAAAAAAAGCGTAATAAAAAATAAGAGTAGTCAATTTCAAAAATTGAGAATCCATTCGGAAGCATATTGCTAATTTGTTAGCAACATAAACTATATCCATATACAGAAAATGCGATTATCCACGTGTTTTTTTAGACAAATATGAACCTATTTGATACCGTCAATGATCTAGTTATCGGAAAAGGTCCAGTCACCAGACATTTCTGGGATTTCTGTGGCCTGATTCAATTGTATCATTAATTATTCGATACAAAATTGCTCGGATCTTCCAAACATAGCAAACAATAGCCACAAGTCAATGTTGTTCTCAATAGAAATGAAGTTATGCCGTTTTATAGATATGTGCGAAAACTAGATCTTTCATAGCATCATCCGATGAATATTATTACTATACATTCCGACTTGCTGTAAATTTGCATGCCTCATACACTTTTGCTTCCGAATGGAAGCATTGCAATCCTTCAATTTTCAGATTCTCTAATTTTCATTGGAAATTATGTAGAATGGTCTGAAACGTAAAAATACGAAGTTTGGCGACCGCACGGAGAGAAATTTTTTAGAAAAATTCTAGTGCTAGCACGGGAAAAGAGGCGCAAAGTGACGGTCAGGAAAAAAATCCAGTGCCGCCACTAGAAATTTGATTGTGGAAAACGTGAATTTTTCTCCGTATTTCTGTGAAAATTTTACGGAAATCCCCAAAAATACCAAGAAATTTTACCTTAACAGCACTAAAATTTTTCACAGCTGGTGGATTGTGATTTTTTCCAGTACTCGTACTAGAATTTTTGTAGAAAATTTCTCTCCGTGCATGTCTGCATGTATCTGCCAGCTTCCTGGAGGTCAATTTTTTAGGAAATTGGGTAATTGAGTGGCTCCAGTAATTCCAAAAAAGCTGAAATTTTGTCAGATTATAGGTCTTGACGCCTTAAATACGGCGCCCATGCCACATATGGACTCGAGAACTTGTCCTACAGGCCGGCGTCCATATGTCATATGGACCCTTTCCGTGATTAATAAAAATTCATTATCTTTCATACTATTGTAGATATTGAAATTCTAAAAATTTCCTCATGAAATCGATAAAAAAATCAACATAACACGACAACAGAAAAAAAATCAACACAACACGACTTCAGGAAGGTTAACAGTGCAGAATTGAAAATCCTTTGAAAATTTTTTTCAAACAAGTAACGAGGATTCTCTATTTATTCTCCAATTCTCCTTGTTTATACTTGCATGTGATGAGCAATTGCCCGGGGGGGTTTCAGTCATACATGGAGAGGAAAAATATTCTTGAATGACGATTTTTTTTCAGTTAAACTATGAAGATTCTTGATTTCAGTTTTTCTTTCGTGAAAAAAATATACTATACATTATAATATGGATAGGTTACCGTTTCAGAGCTACACTGTGAGAAATTTTTCGAAATTTCATGGAAAATATGGTAGAAATTCTCATGAGAGTGACATTGAATCCGATTTAAGGGAAAAATGATTATGAAATTTCGAGTTTTAGGTGGAATTCAAGGAAATCCATGAGTTTTCAGAGGAATGAGGCGGAAATTTCACCACTTGACTGAATTTTCAATGGAATATGAATATTCAGAAACAAAATGACATGAAAATTTCAATTTTTCCCTGAATTTTCCTGATTTTTCCGAATTTTCACAGGATGGTTGATCTAAAAAATCAATAATTTTATAGATTTCATTCAACCAGAAAATCAATGGAATATTTTATTGTTCAATGACAAGATTTCCTGAAATTTCAGTGGAACTTGAACACGATAAAAATTTCCGGAATTCGACGCGGAAAATTCAGACGAAAATTTTTAACAGTGTACTGAAAATAAAGTAAGTTGGCGTGAAAGTGTTGTAATCCAAAAGTATCGCGCCGATCTGACTATGAATTACTTGGAAAGTAGTATGATTGGCATATCTATTTAGTTTGTAAACTCTGTTATCCATCAAAATGCATTAATTCCAAACAGCCATCAGAACAGTCGTCATGCAACTTCTGTTACTACTGAAATCCCCATAAAATTTCCCTTTATTCCAGGTGATCCAACGAGCCGAAGCATTGGACTTATCGGAGCAAGAGCGTGTCGGTAAATTGGTTGAACGCTTGGAAAATATGAAACGAAATGTCACAGTCGTCACATCAACGAGAGCAACAAATAGAAGCTGTGGCAGCAGATGTATTCGCAATAACCGCTGCATGTGCTGTTGCGCTTTGTGTGGCGAAAAGTTTACAGTCCTGGGGGCTGGTCCAACATTGTGCCGTGATTGTAGAAAATACGTCTGTCAGAAGTGCGGAGTTGAGACATCTAGGGTATCAAGATCGTCAACAACAAACTTGCAAGCTAATCAGAGAAGAGGAACATCAGCGTCAATCAATAATCTACTGTCTGCCGAGGCATCGAGTAGTGCAAACAAACAGCTTGCACCACCGTCAAAAGTATTCCTCTGTCGAATATGTACAGAAACAAGAGAAATGTGGAAGAAAAGTGGCGCTTGGTTTTTCAAGAGTTTACCGAAATATGTTCTCCCCGAGAAGAAGGTAAATCATTTGACTATTCTCCCGTCCACTCTACGTTTTCCTCAGGAATCTCAAGAGAAAAAAAAATGTTTCCAAATCTCTCTAGAAGCCCCGAGGGAGTACTCGAAGCGCCGGATGGACTCTAACTGGGGGATCCAAGTCCCTGGAGCCTTCAGAGCACGACTCCTCCTCGGACGAAGAAATCTCCAGAAAGCCCACTCGAACTCGTTCCTTCCTTTCCTACAGTCTCTCGACAGATCCCGCTGATTTGTCCTCCCCCCCAAAACCCGAACTAGAAGTTGAAGTGCAGATCGAAGCTGAGCCAAAGCGCACCTCAGCGGATGTGCACGAAGAACCGGAAACTCTTGGACATCATCAAACGCATCACCCCCCGCAGTGTCAATTGGTTGTGCCAAGCAACTCCTCATCATCAACCTCTCCATCCTCCCCCATTTCTTCTACCTCTCCTCTGCCACCTTCAAGGTCTTCGAGCCGTCTGAGAGATCAGAGTACAAGTCAAACGTCAATATTTTACGTTCGGAATCCAGTGGGCAGCTCCGAATCAGTCAATCACGAGTCCTCTAGTCAATGTGAATCAACAAAATCATCTCTCCGAGGAAGAAAGGGCTCCAGTCAAGGTAACTCAGTTGACAGGGCGCACAGCCGTGGTTCCCTCGAGTTTTCAGACGGTAGCTCCGTCAAACATGGATCCAGACGTCCAAGGTACGTGTCACTTTGATTTTTAACTACACGGGATTTCGTACCGTTTTTTTGTTTTCTAATATACTTTAGTGATTCAACGCTCCAGTATCAACAGCAACGGGAGCAGCGAGACAGACGGGGTGCAGGTGTACAGACACGACCAAGATCGAAGTCAACAGTGGGGATATCGACGAACGGAAAGCGTCACAGGTGAGAAAAAGAGTCGCTTCCGACGGTGGATGAAGAAAGCCTGGTTGAGACANATAATGATCATGAAAAATTGCGGAAATTCCTTCACGTTGGAATCAGAAATCCATAAGATTACGATTCAGGGGTGAACCAAGAATCGGCAAATCCAGACTTCTCGACGAAATATCTGGAGAAATTCCCAAGGACATTGCCTGTAATTACATCAATCTCATCACAGCTGATAGAGAGGTAAATGTCTTCATGTATTTATTTAAAAAAAACATCCAACAATTCAATTCAAAATATCATATCCCCATAAGTGAGCGTTCAAATAGTACGTCACGCGATTAGGGGGGGGGGGGGGTCTGCATTTCGTGACGACTGTGACGGAGGGGGAGGGGGTGCTGCTTCTAAAATGTCCGAAAAACGCGTGACGTAATACTTGAATGCTCCCTGAGGTGCTAAGTGGATTTAAGCAACGCATGACAGTTTAAGGGCATTAGACATTGAGTTATCGAGAATGGGATGGAACTCGGGAATCATTTATGCCTCATTCGCTGGAGACATTCGCCATCCAACAACGGACTTCCACCTTTAATGTTTATAATGCAAAAAGGGATAAATTCAGCAGCGAATGATTTCTCTTTTGTGCTGGAAAATTTACGGATTTTGTCAGTTGAAAGTGGAACTTTGTTGAATAATTCATGTGTCTAAAATCAACAAGGGGACTGGGAACACTTTTACGCCACTGGAATGTCTATAACAGGGAGTTTTAAGTGGTGCAAAGTTTCTCGCATTCTCTTTATGGCATTTCGAAATGAGAATAATTACAGGGAATCCCTCCTACTCTGGTCTATTACTATTTCATCACCAAAGCGGAGGGAGATTCAACAATATGCATTGTACAATTTCCATCTCCCGTAGACGAATCATGTCCCTGAGTCAATTTCATATATTTCCCCTGTTGAAACATGTAAAATGCGCCCTTGACTATTTGCCCGTATGCGTTGCACAGAAAGAAATTTTAATAATACTCTACTCTAAAAATGTGATGTTTCTTCTCCTCTCGAATGTATGTGACATTTTACCTTCTGTCCAATTCCGTGAAATTTTCCACTCATGTTATTCCAAGGAATTATGTTTTTTCTTCTTCAGTATAATAATAATTATTTTTTAATGTTATTTTTATGTGCTTCTTAAATTAATAAATGTTCAATGTGATTTTATTTAATTTACTTGATTGTTTCATTGAATTCTCTTGGGTGTATCGTAATTGGGGATTGAGAGGATAAAGGGGAATTTTGAATAGGAACGGTCGAGAAAACGGAAGAAGAGAAGAACTTAGGAACTCTCGAGATAGCGCTGAGATACGAGCCAGCATCCCAGTGTCTTCATTGCAAAGTGGAGAGGGCACGGGGTCTGCGGGCAATGGACATTCACGGTCTGGCGGATCCATTCTGCAAACTGAACATACTACCGATAAGTCCAAGTACCACTACAACAAGGAGATTGAGAACCAAGACAGTGCACAAGACCCGAGATCCCGAGTTCAACGAGCAGCTCAACTTCTACGGGATCATGGAGAACGATGTAAATGTCACTGCATTAATTCAATTTTCCAACTTTAAATGGAAACCACGGACAATTTGGGAGAGTTGATAACGGCTTGGTTGGAGCCGGTTCAATTAAAACCTATTACACGGAACATTTAGAACATTTTCTGAATATACTGTAAACATTCATCCTTCTCATATCTTTTTCATGCAAACCACTTAAGTTCAAAATATGAGAAAGAAGAAGCGAATGCAGAATTTATAAACAATAACCTCAGTGTAAATTAGAATATTTCGTGGAATTTCTACTCAAAATATTGTCATTTTTGGTAGCGTTTTTAGTCAGACTTGCCCCACAGTCCTTACACCTACGACACTAGGGTGTACATAAAAGGCTAACACCTTGATTGAATTGGAAATTTTCGCGTATCTACAATAGTATAAGAGATACAGTGTTTTAAACAACTAAAATTGTTAATAACAATTGAAGCGACAATTTTTCAAACTGGTAACCAAGAAATTAGGAACAAGCGACTCCAAAAACATAAAATACAATCAAGTTGTCGTAGGCGTAAGGACTAGAAAATTTTTAAATAAATTTCTCTCCATTGAATGGAGAATCGGGTCGGCACTTCATGAACATCATTAAAGGCATACCAGGCTGTAGGATAAAATGACTGTTTCGCACTGCATTTCCCCTAGATCTCTCGCGCTTCAATCATTTATTATTTTCTATTCAATCACTCAATAATTATCGAGCCTGACATGTTGGAGTTCTCATCAATTTTTGTTACATAACTATTCAATGCCGTTAGAGAAAAAAAATCACTTTTCTTTTTGGACATTATTTAGCCAATTCGTTCACTCAGATCGATGCCCGTGTTATTTTCAATTGAGTTGATTAAATACACTTCACCGTAAACTTCAATTAAAAAACTAATTATCTCATTATTTTTTCGTTGCAGTTGAAGAGCGGAAAAGCTTTGCACATTCTGATTCTTCAGGACGATCCAGCTGGAAGGGACTTTCTAGGCGAGGCCAGATTTCCGTTGCGAGAACTACAGCCCTCTCAAACGAAATACTACAACGTATTGCTGGAGGATCATTACCAGGTACTCCCTGTTACCTGCAGAGCTCGATGAATGATGAGAAAGTTTTTCAATTTCATAGAGTGAATGAAAGTAGAAAGTGAAGAGGAATTTAATAGGAGAATACGTAAACTCATTACAAGTGGAAAATTTCAATTTACGATTAGGCCTAAAGTTTTTCCGTCATATGAAGTTTGACCTAATTTTTACTTATCAATCGAGTTTAAATGGAACGCTCAAACCATTCCTCAAGGGTGAATGATACAGTTGGACAGAATAAAAGACGTCAGATAAATATCAAAAAATATACGTATCAAACGGATTTTAATAACGAAAACAAATATTGTTTGGATTACGAATCCATGAACTGAGAGGGATGGATGATTTTCAACCTTCGTTTTATTCAATTTCATTTAATGGTTTTTATTCTCACGCTGCGGAACAATGAGTTTAGTGGAGTTATACACGGACAGAAAATTAATAGAATTGTCATAGTGAAATTCTGAGAAAAATTCTGGTGAGAGAAATATCACGTACCACGTGAAATATTCTACGAGAGCACACGACAAATTCTAGGGGGACCGCATGAAACTTTAATACGCTAATGCAGAAAATGCCGTTATCGAAATCAATTTTGAAAAATAGAAGAGGCTCGAAAGTTACCCTCCAATAGACAATTTTGCAATGATGTAATTTCTTTGAAAAAAAAACGTTTTTCCTTAATTTTTCGGTGTCTAGGACACAGCGCAGGGGGGGGGGCGTGATATAAATATGCGAGGGGTTATTCACTGGTGAAATCACTGTGTCACTCTGGGATAAAATTACATGAAATCAGTTCTGAAATCAGTTGAAATCGAATGAAATCAGTAAAATCATGTGATGCTCTCCCACAGGGGCCACTATCAATTTTTCTGAAAATTAACGAGAAAATACAAGGACCCACAAATTTTCATGTGCTTCCAGAGAATTTTTCCCTTGCCACCATAGAATTTTTGCATAGGCATGTAAATAATTCTCATGTGGATTCAGAATTTTCCCGTTACTCCCCTCGAATGCTCTCTTTTGACTCCGGTCAAAGTCAGTTGTACCTCATTTCTGGTGCTCAGCACATGAATTTTTCTTATAGGGGAGGGTGGAAATCCAATAGGAAACCCCTAGCGAATTCTCTAGAAAATTCTATTGGGTTTCTGTAGAAAATCTATCGGATTCCTGTGGGATTTCTATTTAAATTCTATTGGAAAATTCTATTAGTTTTTTGCGCTGATTCTATTGCATATTTCATACGGAAAAGTCAATAGATTTTGAATTTCTTTCTCCAGAATCCCAATAGAATTTTCTAGCTAATTCGCGAGGTTTTCCTATTGGATTTTTCCATACGTGTCAGCATTGCGCTACTAACCTGAATCGGAAATGATGGGTCAACGGGAATAACGTCATTATTTCCAATTACCCTTTTTTCTTCCAATAGGATTTAAGGAGTTTTTTTCACCAGGGAAATTTTACGGAACTGTCACAGAATTTTTCCCACGCGTTCCGTAATTTTTATGTGAATCTCGTGGAAAAATTACGATACCGTCACTTAAATTTTCTGAATCGATTCCGTAATCGGTGAGCGAATTGTGAGTTCCGCAATTTTTACTGAATATTTCTCCCCGTGTAGCAAATGTAAGACCCTTTTCGCCCAATATATTGAGTTAAGTCAGTAAGAAACATAGGAGGCAGAGTTAGTACGTGACTGGATAAATTGCAGCGGTCAGTTGGTCAAACGATCTGATCAGCCGCTACTCAAAGCGCCGCTCACGTTACATGGAAGAATAGTATTTTACCGAGCCGAAGGCGAGGGTGGTAGGCGCTTGAGTAGGAGTCCTTTACTCTACCTCCCGCGGCGGAAAATATATGACACCAAAAATAGTATATTTCGATACAAGTGCGACGGAATTTTCATGCGTGTGAAATTAGAAGCCCGAGGCGAGGTCGAGGGCTACCAATCACGCGAGCTGAACAATCCTCGTCTCACAAGTGTTGAACTATATTTTTTGCCAGTGATGTTATGTTCAACGAGTGGCGAACTGTGCCTTTTTTTGTTTAAAAGTAAACGAAAAGACACTTTTCGGCACGCGGTGAACGCAGCAGCAATGACAAAATAGTATATTTCAGTACATGTGGGGCAATTTCGTCTTTAACGTGTGTGGGGTTTACAGCATGAGCCGTAGGCGAGTGATGTAACCACACACGTCAAGGACGAAATTTCCCCACAAGTACTGAACAAAATTTTATGTCACGAAGCCTGAAACCGGCTGGATTATACACTCGACGCTTCGCGTCTCGTGTCTAATTCAGCCGATTCGACGCTTCGCGTCTCGTGTCTAATTCAGCCGGTTTCAGACATGAGTGGCATAAAATTATTTTCATCACGTTATGCGAAAAAGTTACGCTTTGCGTGCCTAAAACGTCCCTTTTCCACACATGGTGATGAAAAATATCGTTCGATACTCATGGAAAAACTGTTTTTTGGCTCGTGGAGGTTTGTAGCACGAGCCGAAGGCGAGAAGGACACTTTTCCGCACTCGTATCAAAATATACTAGTTCGTCACCCGGTCAAAAACAACTTTTCTGACTCGTGTGATTGCATTCCTCGGTATCGCCTCGGTCTGCAACCTTCACACTCGCCAGAAAAGTTTTTCCATCGCACTGTCCGTATTGGGAAGAAAAATTATGTTCATCACTCGGCCGAAATAGTTAATTTCGTTACGAGTGCGGAAAAGAGTCTTTTGGCTCGTTGGAGCACGAGCCGAAGGCGAGTGATATAATCCCACCAGCCAAAAAACACTTTCCCCACGAGTATCGAACGATATTTTTCATCACAATGTGTGGTAAAGGGACGTTTTAGGCACGCGAGAGCGTGCCTAAAAAGTTACTTTTTCGCACAGCGTGATGAAAATAACTTTTCTGACTCGTGTGATTGCATTCCTCGGCTTCGCCTTGGTCTGCAATCCTCACACTCGTCAGAAACGTTTTTTTCGACCTTATGACGAAAATAGCTATTTCTTCTGTCTGTAAACGGCGTTTGACAGACCCGAAGTATCCGTAAAACGACGTTTTACGGACAGTATGATGAAAAACCTTATTTAGTGTGCATTATACGATTCACTTCAACTTTGCTAGCAATATAATCGAAAAAGCCGAAAGCGAGTCGGCTGCAGTTATTCATTTGATCCAACGCAACCTCTTCTACAATTCTGTACATATTTATTTAGTTTGTCTTATGTCGTATCCGAAAAGGTACTTGAGTGTTTCCTATGAGTCTTATTCTGAAAGATTTCTCTGAAAAATATCTGATTTAAGCTATGAAGCTCTATTGATTTCTCATGCTTTGCCGCGGTGTTGGCGTTTTTTATGCCGTTTTTCATCTAAAATGGCTCGTGGATACGTTAACTCAAAGAACGTTAGTGGAACAAAGTTGAAATTCTTTGATGTGGCTGCATCGTACAGACCCAACCTGAAGCTTGAAATTGTTAATACCTGCTATCGGCCCAGTGGTTTCTATTGAATTTTTAATAGAAACTTTGATACACAAAGAAATGATAGTCCTTTTTTGTGGTTTCAGGTGGATCAAGAGGAGAGAGTCTGGGGCGAGGACATGACCAACGGACGCGGAGTGATAAATGTGAGTCTGAGCTACAGCACACGCCGACGAGCTCTCCTGGTGACAATCAACCGCGCCCACGATCTTCTACCAATGGACAGCAACGGACTTTCTGACCCATTCGTCAAATTGTGCCTGACAAAGGACCCAAGGGGCGACGATGTCAAACGTCCCCCGATGATACAAAACTCGAGGGAGAGCCTCGGGCGGAGACACTCCAAAAAGTCACCGATTGTGCCAAAGTGCACCGGAGTTACTCACACGACGAGTGTCAAGTGGAAGACACTCAATCCAGAGTGGAACGAGGAGTTCGTTTTCGAGACACGCCTGACAGACTTAACTGCAAATGCCCTCGTTCTGACCGTGTGGGACAAAGACTTCGGAAAGAGTAATGATTACTTGGGTGAGATAAAAAAAAATCCATTCCATTTTTTCGTCATGAAGAAAACTCCATTAGTGAAGTGCGGAATATTGTAGAATTCCGATGATGTTGACTAATTTTTATGGATTTCTCTTCTGTTGTTTCCGTTTAATTGACGTATCTTGATATTACATCATTTCGATCCTGGACTAAAAATTATGATTAATAATATTTTTCACAATCTCTTTAAATTATAACAATCCAAATCGACTTCTGGTGATAAAAATTCGGCACTCGAAATCAACACTTCACAATTAAGGGTCACAAGGGTCAAAATAAGGGACGTAAGAGTCAGAATAAGGATCAGAATAAGGGTCACGAGGTTTAGAATCAGGCTCATGAGGGTCAGAATAAGGGTCATGAGGATCAAAATAAGATCCACGAGGATCAGCTTAAGCGTCACAAGGGTCAAAATAATGGTCACGAGGGTCAAAATAAGGGTTACGAGGGTCAAAATAATGGTCTTGATGGTCAGACTCAGGCTCATGAGGGTCAGAATAAGGGTCACGAAGGTCAAAATAAGGATGATGGGGTCATATGGGGGTTGGCGAGCGGAACGAGCAGGGAGCGTAGCCCCCTAGTATGTCATATGAATGATTGGTTAACAATTGCTAGAGAATTAAAAATAAAAGTGATTTACCAGATTAAAGATTTTGGTAACTCCTTAATAGCAAGTTCTGCAAATTTTTATTATCAAACAGCGATCAATTTTTGTTTGAATATTTATCGATATCAATCTACTGCAGTATGAATTGTTTCACCAATACTATTCGTTGCAATCAAATAATAGCAAAGTAGAATTACAATGCTGCTGTTAGCACTGTTATCACATAAAATAACTAAAAATAAACTCATTTAAAAACATATTAATCAGCAAAACTAATTGTTCTAGGTGGGCTCGTTCTAAGTTGCAACAGTAAAGGCGCGAGACTCCGCCACTGGATCGATGCAATCAAGTTTCCAGATCATCGCCATCACTGCAGTCACGAACTAGCTGAGGACATTGGCTTTCACGAGTAACCCACGTCATCCAATATTCAACAACTAAAGTCAAATAAAAAAAAAACTATTATCGAAGACGTTTACCAATCAAAACGTCTGACAATATATCATTGAAAAAACTAATGAAACTTTAACTCTAAAAAGTATCGCACAATCACGTTTCCAATTTGCCTCATATGAGTTATTAAATTTCATCTCAAAGAAAGAAGAATTTTAAGCAAGCTATATCTGTTGAAATCGTTTCAAATTTGTTGACTATGTGAGTGGATAAAAAAGGGATGAGGAATGTTGAGGTCGTATTAAAGAATTCAAAATATTACAAAAAAATTAAGCTGTATTTATTCAATCCTCATCATTAGATGACGAATCCTCTTCAGCTTCTTCGAGCCACTTTATAAAAGGTTGCACAATAGATCTGACCTTAGTATTAATCGCTTCATCTCCATCGTCAGCCTCCTGACGATACCAATCCAAGATTTTCTCCTCACTCAGAATATCCTTGTCATAAAAAAGATGCAGGAGATGTTGGGCAAACGCCAGAAACTCATCGGTACTGCCTGCCACATCCTCAATTGCTCTGAGACAATCCTCCTGAGCATCCTCGGTCTTGATATAGTTCAATAGAATAGCATTGAAATAACCAATCATGACTTTGAGTGTTTTCTGATAATTTGCATTATTCGAAGTGGTTTTGGTCTCACTGAGATAATACAGTGGTAGCATCAGAATAGCTTTGACAACGTTGTACGTGACTTCCCGTATACTGACATTGTAGGCATACCTTGAGGAGTTAATTTCCAAAATTAGATTTTCACAATTCAATTTGTCCTGATATCCTCTCAGAAGGCTATCGATCACCTCAGAGAGGAACATGTGGGTATCATCTGGTAAAGGAGACTCTGCCCTTGAGTCATTTTCACTGCTAGAGTCCTCAGAGTCTGAGTGGTCCTCACTATTCTTTAACAGACTTTTTTTGAAATAGATAAATTTTTCGTCCTCTTCATTTCTCTCTGACATTTTCTTTGAGTCAACCTTACCGTTGTTATTTTGGATTATTACATCGGAGTAGGATGTTTCGGGGGGAAGTTTTACCCTTCTGGAGACTATGCATCCATCCAGGTCGACGTTTTTATGAAGGTAACTCTCTGAAAACAGAACGCTGTCCTTAATTTTACAGTCGTCTTCAACTGTCACAGCTCCTAGGAGGTACGAGTTCTCAATTTCAACGTTGTCACCAATTTTACAGCTGTCTCCTATCACAGATCGTGAGATTTTTGTATTTCTACCGAGGATACTGTTCTTTCCTACGATTGTATCTTTCTGGAGGATGCAGCCTCGTGCGAGGGTTGCTGATCTGTGTTTGTAGGTGCTTCTGGAAGAGTAGACTATTCCTCGAAGTGGTGGAAGCACTTCGGGGGCCAAGGGGTAAGCCTGACGCTGGAGAATATCTCGGGATAATGTGTGGTAAGCTAACCAGGAGGTGACGGGGAGGGCATACTCGTGGGGTTTCAAGGCCTGCCAGTAGATTCGAGAGTCCAGAATTTCTTCGTTCATGAGGACGCCTCGGATAAAGTCTTCCATTGTCTGAAAAGTGATTTTTCAATTATTCATTGGATGGACTATATAACAACGTCTATGAAATATTTTTATCAAGTTGTCCTACAAGAAATCAAATAGCCTGGTTCTATCGAGAATCCCGGTGATTCCTGGAGTAAAAATTTAGTATAAAAAATCGTAGTTACCATAATTCTGATAGGGGAGAGTAGGGCAGAATGAAACAGTGGGGCAAAATGAAAAAGTCAAAAAACGACAGTTTGACGCAATTCAAACAAAACATTTTTTTTTATTAAATTTTTTTTTTATCAACTTTGTTTTATTCTTGGGAGTACTGATGAGAATAATAATTTTCCATTCAGTAAAATGGAAAACGATTGAGAGGCTTTGACGGGAGATTTTGTTAATGAATTAATTGAAAGGAAAATGAAACAGCAATATTCAAAATCCGGAGGAAGACCCAGGAGGAGCCTCAGATGGGGAAAAAGGAAAATGTGATGCTGAATTTCAATCGTATAATCCATTGACAAAATTTTCGCCCATCAAACTGTAATCGGCCTAATCTAATCAATTGAATTATAAGACGAATAGAAAATTATTAATCTCATCAGGACTCCCAATAATAAAAAAAATAATAAGCAAAATATCATTAAACAAATTTTTTTTGCTTGAATTGCGTCGAATAGTCGATAAATCTAAAAAAGTCAAAAGTGTCCATTTTACCCATCCTCCCCTAATGATAATTTTCATTTTATAATTTATGGAATATTCAATGGAATCTCCGTCCAGAAAGTGACCTGTTTACCCTACCCCCGTCAAAAATTCATTGTCAAGATGACAATGTTTTTCATATAGAACTTAACACCCATCAATTGAAAACATATTGAACGATGCAATCATTTTCGTGATTACCCCCCTAATCTTTACCTGAAAATCAAAATTATCGGAAAAAAGTGGTAGAACAGAGGCTGAGCACATGTAAACATGGCTATCCACAAATCCAGAATTGATTTCAATCTGTTCATGCTCCAAGAACCACTCGAGCTCAAATTTAATCTTCTTCTCTTCCACTTGTGGCTTCTTATAAAACAAAACTCTCTTCTTCTGTTTATCAGCAGCAAAGAGACAAATTTCCTTGAATAAAAGTGACTCATTGGTGGAGCCCAGGTCCCTGAGGACGAGGCTTATAGCACAGCCCTTATCCTTCTCTCTCCTAGCTCTGTGTACATCCATCAAACTTGTCAGATCAGCCCTGATGAACGCATCACCACGAACGAGAATGAAATCACCCCTGATTATTCCCTTTGTATCAATGTCCCTGAGGCCATCACCGAGGGATCTGCAGCCATCGGAGATTATCAGTGATACTGATATGTCCGTGTAATTCTTACTCGAGACGTAATTTCTGAGGTGATCGATGAAATTGCTGCAGTACAGGAAAATCTCCTGCACTCCAGATTGAATTAGAGTCTCGATGAGGTAATCCAGGAGGTGGGCGTTCGCTACTGGCGTCAGAATACTCGGGTACACATTCTGCATTGGAGTCAGACTCGTGCCGAAGTCATCGGCAAGGACTAAAGCCTGGAGAACCTCTTGTTTTCCTATTTTCTGATCACCCAAATTTCCCTTCAACTTTGACATCTTCGATGACTGGTTGACTGATCCGTGACTTGTTACAATTATCTCTAGCCCTTTCTTATTTTTCCCTCACGTTAATGACTAATTATCCACTTTTAGTAAGTCCTTTAAATTTCTTTTCAAGTTTTTCTATTATTTTTAAGGAGAACAATACGGCAAACTGCCCCGAAATGTGGACAACACGTTTCTGAGGTTACGTTACATCATTTTTCTCGTGTTGTTCGTATATACTAGGTTAGGAACGTGAGGGGCACTTGAGACTTGGGTGACTTGAGTGTGGAAGGGGGGGCAGGGGTGGACAACTTTACATGTAGCCGACATTCACAATTACACACATAAAAATGGCTGCGCAGGCTTCTTACAGTGGAAAAATGTCAAACTGAACGTGGTGAAATTCCGGGAAAAATATTCGGGTTATCGATGGAATTCGTAAGAATTCTAACAATGTTTCACATGGGTTTTGGTTAATTTGATTGCGTCTCCGTGGATGGAATGCAAATTCCATTGATTCGATTGGGAATTGTGTAGCTGTGCTATTTGGGAGGGATTTTATCTGTCAGTTTTAATTGACATTCAAAATGGAATTGTTTCGGAGTGACACCCATTTCATTTTCGTACAGGAGAGACACAATCTCTGGTGTGATAAAATAACTGGAGAATTGTCTGCTAAAGCTGGTAAAGTATTTGATGATCGATGGTTATTATTAGAATATTTTTGTTGAAGCCTTAAAAATGAGGGCACGTTGTATGAATACAGAATTATGATTCAATCTTTATCTCATTCAGAGTTTATCATTTTTTAATCGTGAAGAGTTACTCATTTTATTTTTTATGACAACAGAATCTTAGAAAATTGAGTGATAGGAGTAGACAAAGCAGTGGCAAAGCGAGATGATTGTTAACTTTAATAACTTTGAGGATTTATAAATAGGGCAAAATGAAAATTTCAAATTTTTCTCAAATGTTGATAACTCATTGAATTGTTTATGGAATAGGGTAAAAGGTCAATTTCTGGACGGGGGTTAGTTTCTGGACGATTTCAACTTGCATTGAATGTTCCATAAATAAAATGAAAATTGTACTGATTATTTCACCTTTCAATAATATTAGGGGAGGTTGGGGTAAAACGGACACTTTTGACTTTTTTTGAAATGCTAATGAGGGGTTGGAATGTTGATAAAATTTAATAATTTTCTTTTCAATACAAAGAACAATTCTTTCCCTTTGTGACGAGCCTAAACTGAGCTCAATTGATAAATTTTTTTTCAAAAATTTTTTTTTGAGTTATGAATAATTTTAAAAAAGTCTAAAGTGTCCATTTTACCCCGCCCACCCCTAATATTAGGGGAGGTTGGGGTAAAACGGACACTTTTGACTTTTTTTGAAATATTAATGAGGGGTTGAAATGTTGATAAAATTTAATAATTTTCTTCTCAATACAAAAAACAATTCTTTCCCTTTGTGACGAGCCTAAACTGAGCTCAATTGATAATTTTTTTTTCTGAGTTATGAATAATTTTTAAAAAGTCTAAAGTGTTCATTTTACCCCGCCCACCCCTACTCGTGTATAATCATGTGGTCAATTATTTTTTCTATTGATCGACTGGGGGGATTAGGGGTTTCGGCTGCATTCTACTATTTCATCATTTAATTATTCTTTGTTTTGTTATTTTCACTTCAAATAATTTTTTTCTACTAATTAAATCATTCTTGAAGGTATGGAAGTCATCACATCCTCATTTAGATGATTCTTTTATTTTAGATCCTACCGCGAAACGCGAATTCTCCTAAACCGACCAGCAATTGGCCTGCTCACCATATCTACAATAATTTTCTCACATGAGAAGTACACTTCTCCTTCCTGAAAAGGCTAACCGGAGTTTAATCGATAAATCATTTATATATTATTTGGAAGATATGAATATTTTTATTCAAATAGTGAAGAGTGTTCATTTTTCCAAACTCCCCTATTGCCGCATTTAAGCGACATAGAAAAAAATTCATAAAGATTTTTTTTTTGTGAAGCGAACTTGGAGCTTAAAATAATATCCCTTGAACTCCGAAATATTCGTTGAAATTGATCTCTAATTGTAAGACAAACATACCTACTTTATTCTACGCCCTCGCTACAAGTGTGCGAGAGAGTATGAATATTACATTCCATTAAATCATCGAGAAAGTTAATTTTTCTTATAATTTCTTGCTAGATGGGGAGCGGTAGTGGTAAACAATTCAGAATGCCTCAGATTATTTATTACATAGGGGAGGATGGGGCAAAACGGCCCCCCTTTAATCGTCAATATTTTCCGATTCAATAATCCGATTGGGATGAGTTACAGCTCGTTTTGAAGAATGAAAAATTATCTTCAAAATGAAGTTAAAACTGGGAATTTTCACAGTGTCATTCACAAGTTATTGACAATTGAAGGGGGGCCGTTTTGCCCCACCCTCCCCTATATTACATTCTAAGAAAAATTTAAACATTTTCTGGAAGAAAATTCCCATAATTTCCCAGTTGAACGAATCTCGTCTGTCGTTTCATTTAGTTAAAAAACTTCTAAAAGAAATTTAACTGCAAAAATGCGCGAATTTTCCCTAGGATTCTCAATACCGTTTTATTTTGTATAGGACAAGTGCATGAGGAAATTTTATATACGACACTTTTTCGTCTTTCGTAATAAGGCAAAATTTTAAAGGAAGTAACAATTCGAGATTTTTCAAATAATGAAAGATATTGATTTTACATTAGTCTAGACTCTTTTGAATCTTTAAATGTATGAAAGCCGACCGATATTTCATGAAGATATTTTTCATAGACTGAAAAGAGAGCTCTACAAAAGGTATCACGCACGAAGAAATGTAATAGAAAAACCCAACGAATTCGTTAGAAAATTCGATTAGATTTCTATTGAACTTTCTTTTAGTTTTTGGCCGATTCTATTGAAATGTTCTATAGAAAATATTCAATAGAAGAACTCAACAGAATTCGATTTTTCTACATAACTTATTCTTTTCAGATATTTTCTATAGAATTTCCTCGGTAAAAATTTTCCAAGTTTTTTCATTCTATTTTTCTGTTCTTCTCATCAATAAAATCCGAAAAAATCAAACAGAAAAACTTAGAAAATTTGAACCGAGCAAATTCTATAGAAAATATCTCAATAGAATAAGTTCTACAGAAGAGTCGAATTCTTTTGACTTTTTCTATAGAATATTTTCGATTGAACATTTCAATAGAATCGGCCAAAAACTAACAGGACGTTCAATTGAAATCCAATAGAATTATCTAGCGAATTCTCTAGGTTTTTTTGTTAAATTTTTTCGTCCGTGATCTTCGACAATTTTACTGTCTCCCTACAATATTGAGGTATTCTCGAAAACCGGCCTCCAAGTAAAATTACCTCATCTTGTTGAACCACTTCGCTACTGAATTATTCTGGAAGGATAAATATTACAATAACTATAAGGCTCATAAAATGTTAATACTTGGCTGAAGGCCCCCAGGCGATAGCCAGTTGCAAGCTCCTTGGAACTGGCAAAAAATTTCAGTAAAAATTACATAATAATAATCGCTTAAAATTTTGAGTTTTCAATTCTTAATTTTTGTCATTTATTCAATTTATTCTATCGAAAGACACGGATAGAAATCGAATTTATGGGTGTTCTTCCATTATTCGAAAAAATATGTCGATTTTAAAGCTTTCTGGAGACATTGAAAAATGAATTTTTTTACTTCTTCCCGCTGACTTTTATTGCATTTTTTCAATTTCTTCTCGTTGAAATATTGATATCTCTCTAACAGCATTTTCGATTTAGGTTGCTCTACGCCGGAGTGGGGTACCCTACGCCGGAGTAGAGTAGAACTAAATCGAACATAACGGGGGGCAATTTGAAATATTTGCAGAAAAATTCGCTATAATACTTGAAGAAAAAAAGGGATTCGAAGTTCCCGCCACTATAAAAGAAGAAAAAAAATCAATTTTCCAGCCGATTATCCCGTTGTGATGCTTTTTCCATTTTCTTTTCATAATAATAATTGGAATCCGACCATAGGAATGAAGAGATATTCTTTTACCATATGAAGGAAAAAATAGAATTTTCAGGAATACATGGAAAGATTTTTCTATTATGCAAATGAGATTTCGAAAGATTTTTGTTTTGTGTATTTGTTTTGATCACAAAAAAAATACTTTCTATTGATCTTTAACATAATTCCCCTTCATTCAATATTGTAACTTGTGAACTAACCCTAGATTGGTCACCCTATGAGGGAAATCCCGCCGCGCGTCGTTTTTCTTTGAATTTCGGACAGATGAATTACTTTTTCCCATGGTAAATGAAATTGCCAGGCTTGGGCGTGTAAATTACGTTGGTAAATTACACCGTCTTTTACCGACGTAATTTACGTAATTACGTTCGTAAATTACACTGCAAGCTTGCAATTTTCAATTACTAGAATGTTTTATTTTATTCCGACTGATGATGATGCAGTATTGGACGCATAAATATCATAAAAAACAGTATATTATGTCTCGAGGATTGATAAACCCCAAATTTTAACTTCACTTTGTTCGGTTAGAACGCGGTTTTCGGTACTTGGGGCATAAAAAAATATTTTATGTTCCTAGGTCTGTAAAACCGCGATTCTAACATCGATTCTCTCGGTTGAATCGCGGTTTCCGGGCACAGAGACATAAAATATTGTATGTCACACGGCGATAACCAATTCCCAGACGAGAAATCGTGAGAAGCAGTACAGAAAACCAATTTTCTGATTCATGTGATTGAATATCAAGCCACATTCGTCAGAAAATAGTTTCATCGCTTGGTGACACAATGTAATATTACATCATGTGGTACGATTTACGGTATTTTAAGAAACTCAAAAACATGAGTCCCATACCCCATAAACAGTAAATTTTACAGGGGTCAAACATTGCAAAAGACCAAAGTCACAAGTCATCTCCATTGTGAGAAAGTCAATCTTATTATCTATTGAGCTTTATTGGATTTTCCTCTTTATTATTTGGAGCCTTGGAAAAGTCCAGTTGTCCCTGAAAAGAAACATTTTATTCTGAAGAATTCAAAAAAGCTACCAAAGCAGTCGAATAGTTTTGTCTTTTAGGAACAAAAGGGAAAACCTCAAAATGAGGTTTTCCCTTGTCCTTCGGCGAATGCGGTACAGGGGGTTGGGGGGTGGGAAGGGAACAAATCGTAAAAGACCCGAAAGGGTATACGAGAAGAAAAAATTTTTTTTGTGAAGACGAAAATGGAAAGTAAATGAAATAAAATAGCATAAATGAATCTAGAATCTAATAAATAAATATTACATTTCATCGAATGCACAAAAAAAATTGTGTTACTTCATTGGTAGATTGGGAATGGGCAACAGCAAATAATTTGGAATGTCTCGGAATCTGCCACGGAATAATCGGAAAAATCGAGCAAACATCTTTCATGGAGCCCCGACTAATGTTGATAAAGGAAATATCAACTGTAGGTGAACTATATGGAAATCGCATTGTCCATAAAATTAAATCGGTCGCCTTCCTTCAAATTGGTTCAGAGAATTCTGATTTGGGTCTAACTCCATGTAAAAAACACGGAGGCATGTCGAAAATTTCGATGGGGAGTTCGTTCGATGCTCCCCAAAAGACTGGATTCATGAAGACATGGGGGACAATAAAGAGTGCTACGAATACGATCAAGAACACCACTCAGCAGGCCGCAGCACTTGCAACATCACAAGTCAAGTCCACGGTGATCAAACGGAGTATTGGAAAGGACAAAGAGAAGTTTGAAAGGAGAATACTCGAGGAACTGAACAAAGTGTTCGGAGAGACTGATTCCTTTTTTTTCTGTCAGACTGGAGATATCACGAATTGTTTGCAGAGGCAAAGGGAGAAAGAGATGAAGTCAAAAGAGATGGGGGAAGATGATAAATCCCTGTGGAAGACAGTTGACGATAGATTTTTTTGGAACAAACACATGCTTCATGATCTCATCAATTTAAACGTAAGTTGACCTGCCAATCGATCATATTTTGAACAATTTGAAAGATATTTTTGTTTATGAAAATGGGTACGGAACTTATTGTTAAAGAAATTGAATATGAACGGTTAATTTCATGATTCTTTCAATTTTGCATACGTTAGTCGTTTATTTTTACGTTTTTTTTGGTAGAGTGACGCTGCGAATCATTGGATTCTACCTATTATCCAAGGATACATTCAGATAGAAAAATGTAAAGTTGAAGTTGGATATGATAATCAACCCCAGTATGAAACATTCAACCTTGCCATCATTTCAAGAAGAAGTAGATTTCGAGCTGGAACAAGGTGAATTATTTTTAATAACCATCAGCAATTTGCGAATTTAAGGCCCGGGTGGATTATCTTTCGAACGTTATCTCAATTGCTTTTCCATCTTTACAATCTAAAATACATCACAATTTTCATTAGAATTTGCATTACGCAGGAGTCCCTAAAAATTATAATTGTACAATCAAAAGAAGTAGAAAAACAAGTAGGCGACAGCTCGTATGCGACTACAGATGGGTTACTAAGTCGTATGTGAATCTCTTTTCTTGCCATCAATAAATTGAATGATTTGGGCAGGATATTTTGTTTAGTAGAAACCTGTACCAAATTTCGAGTTAATATCTTTTTTTTTTCAAGAGTCAGACCTCGTACAGGCATTTTGAACAAATGCAATGCTCCCATTCTGAAGCAAAAAACGAACGGAAATTGAAAATAAATCTGTAATTATAGTATACTTACTAAATGAAATACGAAAATTCATACAAAATTGAATATCTCAAGAACTAATCACCGGATTCAGCCCAGGTTCAATACCAAATATCACAATGATAACAGATAACTCCATGCTAAATTTCAAGTTGATATCTCGATTTTTGCGAAAGTGAGAGAGCGTACCAGGATTTTAAACAAATAACGGAAAAATGGAAATATCTCAAAAACTTTGTATAAACGGGTATACATATTTTGATTGATTGGGATAGAAGACATCGAGACGAACATTTTGAAAAACAATTTTGGAATCGTTTGCATAGTTTTTGAGATATTTACGACAAACCAAACGAAAACAAATTGCTTTTTCTCAGAAACTAATGGACCGATCGGGCTTAAATTTTACAGGGAGGTAGTCCAAGTCAATACCAAATATCTGACAAAATTTCAAATTTTTGGGAAGTGTTTTAGCCGTTTATTCATTCAATTTACGAAAAAGTGACCACCCGATGACCATTTACACACACACGGGGTGCTCAAACTTCGTATTTTTTCATTTCAGACCATTCTACATCATTTCCAAGCAAAATTCGAAAAAGTAAAAATTGAACGATTACAAGGCTTCCATTCGGAAGCAAAAAAATGAACATTTTTAAAGAGCGTTTTTAATAAAGATTAAGAAATAAGTCCGATAGAGAGGAAATAGTGAATGAATAATTTATCATGGTAACTAACGATCTGACAGCCATTGACTACTGTGACAAATGACAACCTAACAGTCATTAGATACATCAAATTATTAATTTGCAATTTCCTCCCTATTGGGTTTATTTCCCAATATTATTCAAAAACGTTCTTTCAAAATGTTCAGCTTTTTTTCAACCTTTTTTTGATTGTACAATTATAATTTTTGTAGACTCCAGGGCTATGCAAAACTGAAAAGCAATTAAAGATCATTGCAGATTATCAAAATAAAGAAAAACCAAGATCATGCTCCAACGATAATCCACCCGGGCCTCAACTTTGATTCATTTTTATTGTTATTTACCCAAGAAGATATAAATAATAATTTTATTCGATAATGGTCCCTTTGTTGAATTTACTTATGCCAATAGAATGCAATATCTCTGCTATACTATAATTTCCTATCTCCAGAAATGTCTCTTTTCCATCTATTGGGTCACCGTTCTCATTGACAGATTTCATAAATCCAATTATTGATTTCAAATAATCACAATTCCAACTAACCAGACGTAAATAATTAATAGATATAAAAGGCGAGGGGTGGACGAGGCGGGAAAGTGTGCCAATTATGTGGAGACAGAACAATTGGTTTGGTATCATGATCATCAAGTGTCGTTCGTTCAGGTCCGTGGGAGTGTTCCAGTCTACTGGTCTCAGCCAGGATACAAATATAGACCTCCACCTCGTATCGATAGAGGTAACGTGAACAATAACACCATTCTTTGCTGCTCGATACGTCAGAGTCAATTGTAGTTTTTTCAATTTTCACTGGGAGATGTGAAAAAAATCTATAATACCTGACGTATAAAAGATTTTCTACATGATTTCTGTAGGAATATACTATAGAATGGTTCTATGCAGGAATTAGTCTGAAAAATCTGAATTCTATGGGAAATGTAAAAAAATGCAATATTAATTTTATTCAGTCAGAATTTTCCATTCAATAATGACGGATTTTTCTTCAATTTAGCCACCTATTTTATTCAATTTTTATTCAAAACAGATATCAGGAGAAGTCGACCTCAAAGAAAAAAAGTTTGGAATAAAAAATATAGGTTTTTACACTGCATTTTTCAAATAATTTCTTTATTATAGGAAAAAAGAGAGTGTAGAGAGTTTAAACTCTAGAAATTCAATTTGTACGCATTTTGACATTTTTTTTATTTAAAAAAAAAATGGTAATATGATGTTTTAAATTCAACATAAGCGTGAGCTTGGGAGAAAAAAAATCATCTTGGGTAATTTTTGACTTTGTCATGAATACTAAAATTTTGGCTCAGTCTTTGACGGTATCCAAAGTCACAAAAAAAAATTCAAATTCTTACCGCCAAGCGGTCCGTATGAGAGTTAGAAGCTTTCAATGAAGTGATTCTTTTTCTTGAGAACAATTGGGGGGAAAAATTTGAAATTTTTTTTATTCGTTTGTGTGACATCAACGATTTAGCCAATATATGAGCATTGATAACGAATTCAAAAACTACCGGTGATTCTTTTTTCTCCGAATCTTGCGCCCGTCCCATTTCCATTTTCATTGATAAACGTTGAATTTGAATCATGTTATCTCAATTTTTTTTAAGAAAAACAAAAATGTCGAAATGCGTAAAAATGGAATTTTTAAGCTAATTCTAAAGTTGAAACTTTCTATACCTCTTTTTTTCCTATAATAAAAAAACTATTTGAAAAATTCAGGTAAAAACCAATATTTTTTGTTCCAATTGTTTTTTTATCGGACGGCAACTTCTCCCGATATCTATTTTTTTCGAAATTTGTTCAGATCCACTTATTTCCATCACGGATCCTTGCAAAAATCTGACAAAATTTACAGAGATTACTGATTTTTCTCAGATTTTATGGAGACCTTGAAAAAAATAGGTGGCTGGATTGAGGAAGAATCCATGTAATAACGAATTAGATTAGTGAAGTATGTTTGACAACTAATAATAATAATAAAATTTACATAAATAGAAAATGTATAAAATTTTTGATTAGCTGATAAATCTATATATTTTAGTTCGAGAATAATTTGATATAATTTGATAACATTTAGAATTAATTTTATGTAAATCTTTTATATCTCAGGGCATCGAATAAACGCTATTCTATTCTACATTATCAAAGACAAAATGTCTCAGTAATTAAGATGGATACTCATTCTTCAATAATTTCCAGATGAAACCGAGACTCAGATCGCCTTCGAAAAACACTTTGAAGAGGAACTGTCATACTACGGTCCCATTTGCATTGTAAATTTAATAGAACAAAGTGGAAAAGAGAAAATTATCTGGGATGCTTACAGTAACCACGTGATAAACTACAATCATCCGGACATCACCTACACAACATTTGATTTTCATGAATATTGTCGAGGAATGCATTTTGAGAATGTTTCAATCCTAGTGAATGCTCTGAGTGGAGTCTTGACCGAAATGGGCTACTGCTGGCACGATGTTCAAGGCCCAATTTGCACCCAGAAAGGAGTATTCAGAATTAACTGCATCGATTGTTTGGATAGAACGAATGTTGTGCAAACTGCGCTTGGTAAAACTGTAATGGAAATGCAGTTTTCGAAATTGGGATTAATTCCACCTGATGGGACATTACCAACAAATCTCAGACAGACCTTTCAATTATTGTGGGCTAATAATGGGGATATTATTAGTAAACAGTATGCAGGAACGAATGCATTGAAGGTAAATGGAACATGGAAATTTCTTAGATTTTTTAAGAGTCTACTATGAGTTTTAAAAGTCGTGGAATATTGGAGTGAGATTTCTTATGCATTGAAGATCGATTATACATGTTTAAAAACGAATAATTAGTCCAAAAAAATTAATTGTTCATAAATCATTTGCCCCGCACACGCTTAAAAGGTAAAAAATAGTCCAGGCCCTCTAATTTTTGAGCTACAGAGGTTTTTTTTTTCAAAATTGCTAAAAAAATGTATACAATAACAATTACGAATTCGTTTTTTGAAATTCGACTCTGGCGTAAAATAAACGCCATTCATGAAAAATGAACAAAAAAATTATCCTTAAAATATTTAAAATATATTCTCGGTTCTTTCAGAAATATTTTTCAGGCTAGTTTACATGAATGGTGCAATTTTTTATTTAAATAATAACTAAATTAGCTGCGTAGGAGTTCAATTTCAAAGAACTAATTCGTAATTGTGATTGCACTTGATTTTTAAAACTCACGGTAATCTCTTCTTAAATAGTTCAGTAGCGAAATGGTAAAAGGAGATAAATCAATTTCGACTATTGACCAGTTTTGAATCAATATCTCAGGATCTAAGGGAGATAGCGAAATTTTTGTTATAACCTTTTTTGTGGAGCCGATTGAGTGCTACAACAAATGTAATTCCGAAAATTTTGCTATCTCCCTCAGATTCCGAGATATTGATTGAAAACTGGTCAGTAGTCAAAGTTGACATCTCCTTTTACAACTTCGCTACTGAATTGTATTTCATCATCATTATTATCGTGATGAAACTCAATGGCATGGGTCATAATTGAGGTTTTTTGAAAAAATAAACTTATAAGTGTAACAAAATTCTTTCGGAGTGTTCATTGTCCTTAATTCATTTGTATTTTGCATTCTAGGGAGATTATACGAGAACTGGTGAGAGGAAATTTACTGGACTCATGAAAGACGGCGTAAATTCAGCGAACAGGTAAAAACGTCAACTGTCTACTTTTATTTTCTACATTAAAAATCCTTCATTGGCCTCCACCCATGCACTGTCTCTCACCGGACCTTAAAATTCCTGATAGAAACACCTTTTACCGTAGATATTACCAGCAACACTTTCTGGATGAGACACGCCAGGCGGCGATTGACCTTACAGTCGGTAATCAGGTCGACGTTGAGAGATTGAGGGACGATTGGTCACATTACTTACAAATACTCGACAATTGTTGTCTCGAATTAATACCCGTAAAACCACCGAACATACAACTATTTATTGCAGAACATCCTGATATCCTATTTGCAAGTGTCCTATACGATCTAGGCAGGTTCGTCCACGTTGAATCCTCTTTCCCTTCATATTTCGAATTCAAGTACTTTTTTTTTCTAGACTGATTAGTTACTTCAACTGTTGTAGTTAAACAGCAAAGCCGAATCTCAATAAATAACAGGAAATTTTGTCTTATGTCTTAATTTTCTCAAATATATATTGAAAATTTTACAAAAGACACAGAAATTTATTACTTCCATAGATTGGTGACAGAAAGAGGATTCTTTCATTGTAATAAATGTGCTACTACGAAATTGATTTGTCGAGTAGAATTGTGAAATATTTCAAAAGTTTTTTTTTGTTAAACAATCAAATAAAATGGACCGGTTCCCGAATTTTTTTTCCCAGTAAAAAATCCACGGAAAAAATCTGAAAATTTTTCCCTTGGAAATTTTTTCTCCTAAAAAAATATTCTGAAGAAAAGTTCCCATGTCCCTAAGAAAAAAACCCATACAAAATTTCCCTGGAAAATATTAAATCAGACACATATTTGAACACAGCATCAATTCATATTTATTCAATATATCATGCATTATTTCCTTGAAGTCAACAATTTCTGATCATCGTGAATAATTTACAAACACCTTTTCGTCAGAAGAGGATTCAACTTTTCACATAGAACATCTATAAGACAAAATTACAATCCAGATCCAGTTTTTCCTTAAACTCAACCATTTCCAATATTTATATTGGAAGTTATTCATTTTTTTCCCTTCTAAGACAAAAAAAATTAATGTAATTAGTATTTACTGAAAACAACTCCAAGTAAAATCCCACATGGAAAAAAATCGTAAGGAAAGTAATTTCAAAGGGAAGAATTCGCCAAGGAAGGACTGACGGGGAAAAAATTTCTGGGAATTTTTCAATGGAAAAAAAGTCGGGCCACCTATGGATCAATCGATTCCAAGAGGAAATGCAGATATCCTGAAATTATTAATGGGGTTTCTAATTTTTTTCTTACATTAATCGAAGAGAGAATTCGATATTATTCGACATTAAAAAAGAATTCGATATTAAATCTTACATCAATCGAAGAGAGAATTCAATATTATTCGATATTATTCGATATTAAAAAATTGTCATTCTCTAGAGCAACATGATTCGTATAATTCAAACCTAATCGGGCTCGCCTGGGAATGACTCGATTGAAGAAATACGATTTTGAAAAAATAAATGCTTCTCTCAACTAACTGCATATTTGGCAAAAATAATTTTTTCTCTGTGCGGAGTGACTTTTTGATCAATATCTCTGAATCCAAGGAAGATAATTGAATAGACCTGAGGGCATTTGTTCTCAAATCAAAATACAATTCACAAAAGAAGTATCGATCGACAATTCGCATTCTCTCACAATCATATGAGTCTGATATACCATGAATTTCACAATTAGAATCCTCTTCAATTCACGATGATTTTTTGTAACAATGAAATTGTGGATTTTACTTGGATCTCCCCACATTCCCAAGACCCCAAAAATACTAAAATTCCACTTGAAAATGTCTGTTACAGATATTATTTGAACCGATTCAAAGATGTCTACAGACAAGCCAGTATCGACCTAATGTCAGGTCACTCAGTAAACGAAGAAATCTTCCACGAGCGTAATGAGGAAGAGGACAACGCTGCAACAGCATTCCACGTGAAACTCCTGATCGAGGACTGCAAAAAGCTTCTCATCCCCGATCCCGAAGTAATTCTCGGAAGTTGGGGTCTCATCGACGCAGACCCAGTGGCAGGTGATCCCAGTGAAACCGAAATGGACTCAATCCTAATCCTCACCAGGGACAGTTACTACGTAGCAGACTACGACGACCAGATCGACAAAGTCACGAACTACCAGAGAGTTCCGCTTTCTGACATCGTCATGATCGAATTCGGCCAACCAGACAGTGGAGTATCCCTCTTCAAGAATAAACAGCACCACTGCATCAGGATAAACTACAAAATGGGAAGTGAGTACGGATATTTCCACATGTTTAGAAGCACCAACCTTCGTTTTTTCAATAACATGGCGGTTGTCATAAAAACGGACGAGGAGACAATTGAATCAATGAAAGCTATTTGCGAGACATTTTCGGTAGCTGTTGAGATCGCCGCCCTTCCAAAAGTTCCCATCGCCATGAACGTTCCCTTAGATAAACGAACGAGTAAACCGGTAAAAGCAAAAGGATCGACAATCCTCTTAGACATCTCATCGTTCCCCCAGATCACCAGGAACGTCTCCGAGACTCAACTTCTCGCCCTCAAGAGCGCAGGAACAAAAGCCTTGAGCAACATGTCAGAACAATTCAGCAAATTGAACAAGTTGGGTTCCACCTTCAGTGGAGGGAGGAAATCAGATAAATCGTCGACGAAATTCACAGACTCAGCCAAAAAGACAACTTTCACAGTTGGGAATTATGATTTGGCAGGAAAGAGAAGTGCTGATCCTGAGGAAGTCCACAGCAGTGGTGGGAGTAGTGGGAGTAGTCCAGTGCCTCAGGAATTCACTGGAGTTGTGGAACGAAATCCCCAAAATTATTACAATAAAGTTGATTTGGCAATGGATGGGCTGCATCTGGTGTCTCCATCAGAGGGGGACAGGCCAGCCCCTGAAATCACTATTCAAGCAGCTGGAGAAGGTGAGAGAGAGGAGAAAGAGAGAGCCCTTCCACCATCCACCTTGAACTTGACGAAGAACATCAGTCATTCATCAAGTGAAGTTGATGGAAACGTCAAGCCGAGTAATCACATGCAACTCGAGCCCTCGGGAGACAGAAAACGTAGCAACTCTGAGCAGGATCTAACAGTCAATAATATAACTTCGTCGCAGAGTGAATCTGCTATAAAATCCCTAAAAACGAACGTCGCAAATGCAGCGTCCCCTGTAGCAAATACTGCGAAAGAAATTCTTTCTCCATTTTCTAAGTTTGCTAAAGGTGTACAGACATTTGGGGCTAACTTGGACCCTCGGAAACTGAAGGCTGGTCAGGTGTCCGGCGCCAGGACACTCTCTGATCAACATCTCAATGAGAGACAAAAGCTTATCGAACGCTGGCAGAACTGCCGGTCCACTCTCATTGCCCTTTAGACAATTTGTTAGATCTTTATTTAGTTGCTCTGCGAAAAGGTTTACGCGAAAAGTTTGGTAACTCTCTTATATTCTGAAGCATCCAGTGAATATTGAACTCGAAGTAGCGTGGATTCACGCACGAAAAAATTTAATAGAAAAACCTAGCAAATTCGTTAGAGAATTATATTGGATTTCTATTGAACTTTCTATTAGTTTTGGCTGATTCTATTGAAATATTTAATAGAAAAAATGAATAGAATTCGATTTTTCTATATAAATTATTTTCTTCAGATAAAATTTCCTCGGCTGAAAATTTTTTTGTTTGATTTTCTTCATAAGAAGGAAAGAAAAGTAGAATGAAAAAAACTTCGAAAATTTGAGCCGAGAAAATTCTATAGAAAATATCTCAATAGAATAAGTTGTATAGAAAAATCGAATTCTTTTGAGTTTCTATAGAATCTTTACTATTGAACATTTCAATAGAATCGACCAAAAACGAATACAGAGTTCAATAGAAATCCAATACGATTGTCTAACGAATTCGCTAGGTTTTTCTATTAAACTTTTTCATCTGTGTTAGTAAAGTGGTAAAAGGTTTATTATTGATTGCTTGTTAGATGTGAAATTATCTAAAAAAAACGAGGAATTATAGAAGAGACTATTGGAGTACTTTTACCAGAGAAAAAACCTTTGACATTTTCTCCTGGAGATGACGGAAGGCACAATTATTGGCAATATTGAATTTGACCTACTACCATTACCGCTACCGAAAGGACTTCGAGGTGTCTTTAGGAAACAAACGTAACTCAAATGAAAAGTCGATGAGAAAGTATGTAGAAACTCCAATTTCAGAATGCACGTCTCAAATTACGTATGAAAAATTCAATAGAAAACATAGCGTATTCGCCAGAAAATTCTATTGGAATTTAGAATTGTATTGAAAAATTCTATTTGTGTTTTGCGCTGAGTCTATTAAATATTCGATAAGAAAAAGTCAATAGATTTCGAATTTCTCTTTCCATTTTTCTCTTGAGATTTTTTCTATAAGAATGCTTGGGCATCAATTTTCTATGTTTTTTTCCCTCGGATTCTGTAATGCAAAACAAAACAAAATCCAGCGGAAAAAACTTAGAAAATTTGTGCCCAATATTTCTAATATGAAAAATCTCAAGTGAAAAATTTGAACAGACATTCAAAATATATTGACTTGTTCCTATCAAATGTGCAATAGAATCAGCGCAAAAAACAAGTAGAATTTTTCAATAGAATTCCAATAGAAATTTTGTAAAAACCCCATCGAATTCCTATAGAATTTTCTAGCGAATTCACTAGGTTTTCTATTGAATTTTTTCAAGCATTTCCGCAAGATAACAGGAAGAAGCATATTTGGGATACGCGAACCAATTACTTATCAGCTACACGGGTTTTGGAATGATTTATTTGCTCCAGGCTAAGAATTCACGCATGAAAAAATTTAATAGAAAAACCTATCGAATTCGTTAGAAAATTCTGTTGAATTTCTATTAAACTTTCTATTAGTTTTTGGCTGATTCTATTGACATATTCAATAGAAAACATTCAATAGAAAAAGTCAATAGAATTCGATGTTTCTGTATAACTTATTCTTTTCATATATTTTCTACAGAATTTGCTCGACTCAAATTTTCTGTTTTTTTCATTCTATTTTTCTTTTCTTCTCATCAAGAAAATCAAACGAAAAACCTTAAAAAATTTGAGCCGAGGAAATTCTATAGAAAATATCTCAATAGAATAAGTTATATAGGAAAATTGAATTCTATTGACTTTCGGAATTTTCTACTGAATATTTTCTATTGAACATTTCAATAGAATCGGCCAAAAACTAATAGAACAGTTCAATAGAAATTCAAAGGAATTTTCTAACGAATTCGATCGGTTTTTCTATTAAATTTTTTCGTCCGTGTTATCATGACGAACAAATTTACACTTACCATGTATTCAATTGTAGGTCTTACGTGATCTTTTAATCCAGTTTAACCGAGTGGATTTAGCCTATGCATTTGAGATACTTCCTCAGAGATTTTTTTTCTGAGGTACATGTTGCAGTCTGCGATAAGAGAGACGATACAATAACCCGTGAATTCTCGTTTAGAGTATTAGAATCCAGGAGCACTTATCCTCCCTATGAGAGCTCCAGAAAATTTTATCGCCTTAGTCAATTATGTACATACTCATGAGTTAGATCAATTTCGTTGTGGATCGTGTAAGGTATGCATTCACGTGTGAAGAAATGCAGTATAAAAACTTAGCGAATTCGCTAGAAAATTCTCTAGAAAATCTATTAAAATTCTAGGGCAATTCTCGTGAAAATTCTATTTGTTTTCTATAAGTGTACTTAGGCATCAATTTTCTAAGTATTTTACACTCGTATCCTGTCATGCAATACAAAACAAAATATAGCAGAAAAAACTTTGAAAATCTGTGCCAGTAATTTTGATAGAAAAAATCTCAAGAGAAAAATTCAAACAGAAAAATCGAAATCTATTGACTTTTTTCTATGAAATATTTAATAGAATCTGTGCAAAAAATACATAGAATTTTAACGAGAATTCCTTAGAATTTTGATAAAATCCTCATAGAATTTGTAGAGAATTCCAATAGAATTTTCGAGCGAATTCGCTAAGATTTTCTACTAAATGTTTTCACGTGTTAGTCTAAATCCAAGATGAATTTCCTGAAACAAAATGTTACAAAAAAAAACGAAAAATGGAGGACTTTTCCTCGGAAGATTAGAACCCTTAGAATTATGTATCGAGATAGAATTGCTTTAACTTTCTACTCATCATTGATGTTGGAAAGTTTTCAGCCTGTGATACATTGTCAAACGATAATTCAATTGAATTCAGATATTTCTCTGGATAGAATTGATTTGAAAAGAAAAATTTTTATTCAGCAGTTTTCACGTAATTAAAGCATTAAACAACAGTATTTTTTACTTTTATGTTTATCGTTATTAATCAATTGTTTACATCAATGTGAATAGCATTGCTCCACAAAAGTATTTCATATAATGCTTAAGATGTTAGAGAACAACGTGTTTTAAAATCTGTTGTGAAGTGGTAGAATGCAGCAGGTGAGTCACACGTATGAAAAAATTCAACTGCAAATTCGTGTGCATTTGCTCGGAAGTTACATTTGTATTCTACGAGAAGTACACTGAGAGAAATATCGTCATAATATCACGAAACTAATTTCTTGCGCCAAATATCTCATCTTTTAAGGATAAATTTCTTGGCATAAGAATTCCGGATAATGTGTCAGACAATGTCAGATTTCGGTGAAGTGTTCATGACTCGAACGTGAGTATTTCATGATAAAGTGAGAACTTATTGCCACAAGAAATCGGTTTTTTCGTGTCAGAAGATGAGAAAATGACTCAAAATATTAAAAACTTCGATTCAGTGAATCATGAATCAGCGACTTTCATATTGAATGGATAGAGAGTTTATGCAGAGGAAAACCTCCAGATATTAAAAAAATATATAACCGTCGCTTACGCTCAATCGCTTTGAGTTCGACGGGAAGCAATATCTTCTTTTCCTTCTGTCAAACTATTCTTGGCTTTTAAGGAATATTATCCCATTTCGAAAAAGACATCATCTTTTCATTCAGTAACTTCCGTCTTAGCTCGAAGAGCACCGATTTCTTGTCTGAAACCTACCATAAATTGATCAAAAATGTATGCGATGTTTTTTGTGATACCTATGTCCATTTTTCTCTTAGTGTACCATCTTTCATTTGTCGATTCTTATTTCCGAAGCGTTTCCACAAATATTAAAAAAGAGATATATATATTTCGTTCTCACATACACAACTTATTCTGTTAAAATTTTTTGCATAATAATTCATCGAAACACATTTTTCAATTTTTTTCCACCGTATTTTAATTTGTCTCAATGAAAAGTACAAGGAAATAAATTCATGTCGAATTGAGAATTTGTAGCCAGGTATTGATACAAAAGAAATTTCAACAGAATAATTCGTAGAGAAAAATGGAAATCTGCTGTCATTTCAATAACACGATTTGCATAAGATATTTCTATAAGATGCGTGTAAAACTGGTGGAGTCCGTGATAGGAATCGACAGAAAATAGATAATTTTTTATGAGAGGCCATGAGCATTTCCTCGAGAATGCACTAACATTTCCTTTCGAAGTTTTTCATACTTTGAAATTTACCATCGTTGATAATTTTTTATTCATCTCCAAGCTGGAAGCTTGAAAATAAATAAAACTCATAGCTTGAAATTTTCAACGAAGAATATTTATTGACGTTTTCTCTTGAAAATCAGTCGTTATGAGAGTGAGATTATTAAACTGGATGGTATAATTAGACTTATTCTGTTTTACCATTTCCCTACCAAAATCATTCGAAGGAAGTACTCGTGTGTTGTTATAGAGAAATCGCACAAGTAAAGTATTTTGTAGAAATGTCAACACAAATTGTGAATTGTAATGTATTAACATGAAGAGATTCCTGAATAAAGAGAAAAGATTATTGAACACTATTTCAAGAGTTTCAAATTTCTATATCCATCCATTTTTAATGCTTATTGGCAGCAAGGGATTGTGGATTTGAGCGCACGCACGAAAAGATGTCATACAAAAACCTATCGAATTCGTTAGAAAATTCTATTAAATTTCTATTGATCTTTATATTAGTTTTTGGCTGATTCTATTGACATGTTCAATAGAAAATATTCAATAGAAAAAGTCAACAGAATTCGATTTTTCTATAAAATTTCCTCGCCTCGAATTTTCTATGTTTTTTTCTTTTCTTCACAGCAAGAAAATCAAACAAAAAAACTTGAACCGAGAACTTGAAAATTTGAGCCGAGAACATTCTGTAGAAAATATCCCAAGAGAATAAGCTATATAGAAAAATCAAATTCTTTCGACTTTTTCTACAGAATATTTTCGATTGAGCCGAGGGGTTGGTCACTTAGGAAATCACTGGGCCACTCGATTGGAAATCAAGGTAGAAGTAACCAAAAATCATTGGAAATCAAACGATTTCCATTTCCCATAGTGATTTCTAATGAATTCTGGAAGTTGTCGGAAATCAGCATAAATCATAAAGAAATCAGGTTACTTCAGAAACAATTAAAAATCATGGATGAAAGTGAAACCCAAAT